AGGAGCTAGAACAAAAATTTTTTTATCATTAAATAGGGAATTGTTTATACTATATACACCACTATTCAAAACAAAAAAATTCGCACCTACGATTTTTTCAGAAAACGCCGCCTAAATGCCCACTGTGTGTAAGCAATATAATGAAAGTATGTGACAGCTAATAATAGAAAGCTTTTCTCCATAATTTTAACAAAAGTTTAAATGGACATTTAATACTATCGTAAGAATAAGAGCAAGTTAAGACTTTTATTTTTGTCGTGTCCCTTATTAAAATTTATTATTATTCCTCTATTTTAAAACAGCATTATCAAATCTAATTGCACACTTCACTTTCTACTACAGTCATTTAAAATTTGCTTTTTTAGTGAATGCTACTGACATTCAACAGCACCAGTTCGCACTAGATATGGAACCAACGGAATTATTTCAATCCCCACCTAAAACTACTACTACATTACCTCGTTGTAATTCAGACTCATCTTTCACCATCACTGGAGATATATCAACTTGTTCAGAAATTGAATATTGGTCTCAAGTAAAAAATAAAACGCTTTGTGTTCATACATCTCGTACTGTTTCATCTCTAACAACAATGACGATGTCGACAGTGAATGAAGTTGATCAGAAATCTAACATTTTTCAAGTTGATGTCGGTGAAGGATATTCTACCGAATGTGACCTTACTCAACGTTGTATAACAGGCATGGATATACTAAAAAAATATGGACTTATTAATTAATTCATCAATAATAGAATATTCATGTTTAGAAGAAAAAAAACAAGCTGTTGTCTTAAATTTTTTTTGTTTTTTGTGTGCATATTAATGAGAGATGCGTAGGAAGATTGTTTGTAAGGATATATAAAGGAGTGTTTTCGTACAAACACTGTTTCAAGCCCGGCCTGTTTTTTGTTCTAACAAAGGTCGTTCTATCCAAAAGCAAAATTATATTTCAAATATGAAGTTTCATTATTTTTCTCTTAGTGCATTATTATCATTGATTATACTTAATTATACTAATTCTCAGCAGTGAGTAAAAATATGTCTTAAACATAAATTTTATGTGTTTCGATCCAATTCCATTTCATAGAACTTCATCGAATTTATGCACGAACAGTGTCGAAGAAAAACGAAATGCAACATGTCCAGACTCACAAACGTTCAATATTTTGGCGGAATATGAAAAACCAGCAGATCAATGGAAAATACATTTTACTGTGCGTTGTTTTACATTAGTTCATCACACTAAACAGAAGCATAAATAACTATTTTCTTGTTGTTTTACAGGCATTTCGATCACTCGGTTTGATAACAGCGGAACAGGTTCTTAATGAAATCAAAGCAAGAGCATCAAATCAAACGTTATGCCCATATTATAGGTATGTGTGTGCAAGAGACAAAATACACCGATCAGTACAAACGATCGAATTATGACATTGTCATAATTTCTGTGTTTAGAACCGTACTACGACAAGATTGCTGTAAAGGATGGAGTGGCACCAATTGTACAGAACGTAAGCAAGAGATAATATTGTATCTGTTTATTTATACACATTTATTGAGGGGTATCAGAATATCACTACGCAGTGTATTCTCAAAAAGAGACTCTGTTTTTCAAACTTGCTGGCTTACTGGGCTTGGTGCATTCTCGTGCATTCCCACTGAGAATACACCAAGCCCAGCAAGTGTATTCTCACTGACAATACACGAGAATATAGCAGAATACGCAAATATATAAATTTCTATAAAATGTGCTGGGCTTACTGGATTCTCATTGACAATACGCAAATGTTGCATAGTGACTCACTCTCATGTTGCACCTCGCCCCCTCCGACGGCGACACTATATTATGTATTGTCAATATTTGCGTATTCTGGTATATTCTCGTGTATTGTCAATGAGAATACACCAAGCCCAGCACATTTTATAGAAATTTATATATTTGCGTATTCTGGTCTATTCTTGTATATTATCAGTGAGAATACACCAAGCCCAGCAAACCCAGCAAATAGTGTCTTTTTGAAAATACACTGCGTACTGATATTCTGACATCTCTGCATTTATTAACAATATTTAGCTATTTGTACGATCAAATGTGTCAACGGAAAATGTACATCACCTGAAAAATGTGCGTGCAATAAAGGATATGCTGGCGAAGGCTGTCAATACCGAGCAGGTACTGTTATTCCTTTATAATCTAAATATTGTCTCTCAAAAACATCCCATGGAGAGATCTATATGAATGACATCTGTTTTAGCGTATTTAACGTTATTGTGAAAAAAATTTTCTTTCTCTCATTTTAAGGTGATCCTCGTCTTGTTCAGTGTTATCGAAAGTCAAATTGTAGTTCATCATCGAAAATAAGTGATGTTCTTGTTAGTATTGAATATTGTTGTGCGAATCAAGGCGGTATAGCATCTGCATCAACACAAGGATCTTGCACATTGTGTGCGCTGACTGAAGCAGAAATCGCCAATATCACAAGGACATCAGCCGAGAAAACGCTACCTTATGCTACGTGTGTTTTATGGGGAAGAGATCATTTTCGAACATTTGATGGTTTAGTCTACGATTTTCAGGGAACGTAAGGACGTTTGACTTGTACTTGGAATAACTCCGTAAACATGAGAGGTAGTTTTTTTCCTCATAAAGATGTCAATATAAATTAGCTGGCACGGTGAATTGGGAAATTGATTTACAAATAGAAAATTGCGATCAGTGGGATACGTGTGTAAAACAGATAAGTTCAACGTTTGGAGAACATCGAATTGTGACAAGAGGACACAATGTCACAATAAATGATGTTCTATTGGAGATAACAAAAGGATATACAAGTGGACGTGAGTATATTTGAAAGCAAAACTATTTCTTGCACAAAAGTCTCCAAAAAATGATTGTTTAGCTTTAACAATTGAACGTCGTGGTGAATATACATACCTTATCTATTCGGATGGTGTTCGAATGAAATGGGATAGCGCCATGGCTGTTTATGTAACCGTTGATCAAACATATATGAAACAAGTAACAGGACTCTGTGGAACGTATACTCGCCTTCAAGATGGTAAGCAAAAATAGTTCTTTCCACAAAATACGTTCATTTGCGTCGTTGTTTAGATGATCTCGAATTACCAGATGGATCGATTTCGACTCAAGTCACTCATTTTGCAAATGAATGGCGTAGTGATAGTAGCGTAAGTAATAATTAGGCTGTGAGTAAATTTTATTTAGAAAATATTCATTTTTTCATTATAGTGTCAAGCAGTTGCTGTACCAACTAATCCATGTAACACCGCTCAATTGGTTAGTGCAGCTGAAAATGCCTGTAAACCCATTCTCGATCCATATGATTCATTTAAAGTTTGTTTATACGCCATTAATGAAACAGATCATTATGAGTCGTGCAAATGGGATTATTGTTCGGCAAAAGGAACAAATGTCAATGAATTGTCAATGCAACAGCAAACAGCATTGTGTTCAGCATTTGAAGCCATGGCACGTGAATGTGAAGCTCATTTTATTCATGTCAATTGGAGAAAATCAGATCGTTGTCGTAAGTATAACGAACTGTTGATGTTCTAGTATGAACTACCCCATTCTACTAGCATTATTTCTTTAGCGAAAGCGTGTTCAAATGATAAAGTATACACCGAATGTGCTTCATCTTGTCCGACCACATGTCAAAATCACCGGCAAGATTTTACAAGTTCGGTAGATTGTTCGCGCGATTGTTCGCCAGGTTGTGTTTGTCCATCTAACAATGTGATTGACTTCGGAAGAAATGGATCGTGCACACCCACTGATCAGTGTACCTGTTATTTTCATGGAGAATATTATTTACCACACGAAAAAATTCAAATTGATTGTAATGATTGTATATGTGACGGTGGTACTTGGAATTGCACACGACATTTATGTTCGAGAACGTGTTCCGTTTTGGGAATGAATCATATTCATACGTTTGATGGTAAAGCATACACGGTCAAAGGACATTGTGAATACATATTAGTAGAAGTAAGGAAGAAACGTTTGTTTTCACCTCATATTTTGAGAAAATTTTGCAATTCTGTTTAGGAGATGAAAGATTTAATTGGTTTAAAGGTTAAACTAACGAATGCTCATGATATACCTGCTGATTACAGTGAGTTGGTGGTAGAAGTTAACAAAACGTTTGTGACTATCAGAAATCAAAATATTCACATTAACGGACAAGTACATGCTATTTTACCGTTTAAAAATGGATATTTAACAGTTAAACAAGAATCATCAATATTTTATTCAATTAGCGGTATAAAAAACGTTTCTTGTAAGCAAAATTTGCTTTAGGCTTTTATGTTCTTTTTCTATTTAGGCAAAGGATTTTACGTTCATTTTGATGGTATTCGTGTCTATATCAAATTAAGTACACATTTTCTTAATAAAACGCGTGGTTTGTGTGGTACATACGATTATAACAGTCAAAATGATTTTATGACTCATATAGCCATTGTTGAAACGGATATTCGAACATTTGTTGATGATTACAAAACCGAAACAACATGTACAACGCCAGTCCAAAAACATCCTTGTCAACAAAATGTGGCTGTAAGTGCAGTGCCTTCTGTATGACTATACGATTAAACCTGTTTCCAAACAGAAGACTGTTTAAAACCGCACAAAGGGTAACATGTGTTGTCAGGAAAAAAAGGAAACGACTCGGATGTTTTTTGAATAACGTTTGACAAAAAGCAGTAGAGACTTCGTCAACTGGAAGCCAAATTCTGACCGCATCTCTTCATCGCGAACGTCATTTTGAAAATCTCCTTCTAAAATAGGTTTTCCAGAGGATCTTTAGAATTCCGTGTTATTTCTAGAAAACGCATAATAAAAATATTTTGTTTTTTTTCATGAGTAAGTAGTCTGCAGTGTCCTTTTCAAAACAGGAGTCAAACGAGACTTTGATTTTCACCGGTTCAATCGTAGTATCGGACGTCACGGTAGTCACAGAAGTGGCATCCCGTGACTTGGGCAACCTTGAGATCGCATGGAACATACATAATGGATCACGCTGAATCTCGTGGCAATGCTTGTTCACTCAAAAAACACCAGAACGCGCTCAAAACTTCGGAATGCAGAGTATTTACGTTATTTTATATCGTAATTATAAGAAATCTAAAAAAATAAGTTTAAGAAAACTCGATGGAAATACGAAAGGATTTCTGAAAAACGTTTGAGTAAAAGTACGGTTTTCGACTTTTCGATGATATAATCATGTTTACCAGACAAATTTAGCCATACCCTGAGGTTTTGAGCTCGTTCTGGTTGTGAATTTGTTAATATTAGATGAAAACAACTTCGAAACCCCAAGTTTTGTAAAACTCAGCTTTCACCAGATTTTTGAACTATTCCTAAAAACAAGCATTGCCGTGAGATTTAGCGTGGTCGAAAATCAAGGTCTCGTTTGACTGTCCGTTAGACATATTTATCTCTCGTCGATAAGAATTGATGGCGAGGAATGATTTCTCGAAAGTGAAAATTTGTATCTCGCTGTCCTTTCGGGTTTGATGAGATCATTTCTCCGAAGTTTTTTCTTTCATGTCTATTAGTCTTGTACTATCCGTTACTGCTATCCGTTACTGCACACGAAACAGAATATGAGGAACAAAGTGATTCAATATTATGCTCTTTCTCCCGGCAAGAGAGAAGTTGTAATACTTATTTTTTTTCTATAGAATGGACAGAAAGCTCAAACTATATGTAATGTATTGAAGTCGGATGTATTTTCTGCATGTCATTCTACTGTTAATTTGGCACGTTTTGTTGATGCATGTGAATACGATTTATGCTCGGATACCAGTTCTAATCATCAGAATCACTTTTTATGCAGTATCGGTGCGGCTTATGCTCGAGAATGTCGTCTAAATAATATTACACTTGATTGGCTATCAAATGCGGATATGAAAACCGCCTGTCAATCTGCGAAATATGGTGAATGTATTGGCGGTAGCGCGTATACCGATTGTGCTCCTGCCTGTGCAAATAAATGCAAGGATTTGGCGACAAATCAAACATGTTATGAACGAGAATGTGTTGCGGGTGAGTATAGATTTTAGATAAATATGTGTTGTGCGCTTAAGAAGGATAACTGTGTTTATAGGTTGTTCCTGTCCGAATCAACTCTATTTGGACAATTCATCAGACAAAATGCAGTGTATAACACAAGAAAATTGTCCATGTTTTGATGTTGAAAGTAATACAAATATTAAAGCTGGTGGTGTCATTCCAAGAAGTTGTGGAAACTGGTAAGTAAGAATATGTGAGCAAGTGCAATTGATGTTTTGAAATATTGTTTTTAAAGTTCTTGTTCTAATGGTTATTGGAATTGTGGTGATCAGAAATGTGATCGAACCATTAAGTGCCCAGCAAATCAAGTTTATTCGTCAAACAGTTCATCTTGTCCAAAAACATGTGATAATATGAATAACTGGGTTGATTGTGGAGTAATCAACGATGGTTGCTCATGCCCAAACGAACAAGTTCTAAGTCAAGATGTACGTATGTATTATATGTCAGTATTTCATATTCATTTCTCGTTTTTTATTATAGCTTAAAACATGTGTGAAAGCCAGTTTGTGTCCATGCCGTTATGCTGGTCGCATTTATGGTGCCGATGAGGTGATCAAACGTGGATGTAGTTCATGTAAATGTTCGGGTGGCACATGGTCTTGTGAAGATTTCAAATGTGATGCTACATGTTCCGCACATGGTATAAGTCTACGTTTAGCCATAAATTCAACTTTTAATAGTACCTCCTATCTTTTTAGGTGATCCACATTATTCAACATTTGACGGTTATCGTTATAGTTATCAAGGCAATTGTAAATATGTTTTAACTCAAACAGCTGATCATTCATTTCGTGTTATAACTGAAAATGTTCAATGTGGTACATCAGGAGTGACATGCACAAAAAACGTCTTGATAACGTACAATAACATGAAAATATCGTTGATGAGAGGACGCGATCCAGTTGTCGATGATGTTGAAGTCACAGATTTATTAGCTGGTAGAAGAGTATTTCAATCTGTAACATTAATGAAATCTGGTATTTTCGTCTGGATTAATAGTACCGATTTTACTATCAAATGGGATGGAGGTTTGTGTTTGTTGTTATAAACAATAAAGTAATTAATACATCTTTTAATTTTTTACTTCAGCCACTCGAATTTACGTTACGATTCACGATGCTTACAAATCAAAAATGGCTGGTTTATGTGGTAACTTTAATGGTGATTCATCAGATGATTTAAAGTATGGACATTTGAAAAATTTAAAGGTTTTATTCTTATTTTTGTTTTTCAATTTAGTACGGCTAATGGTGTACCAGGAAGTATTCATGAAATGGCCGAATCATGGAAAGTTGAACAAGCATGTGAAACAGTTAAAAATCCAGTTATGGACGATTCTGCACCGTGTGCTGCGCATGAAGCGAGAAAAGAATGGGCAGAGAAAGAATGTCATATGGTAAGTCTTTCATTTAAAGAAGGGTAGTCATGCTTTCTAGCATGATTTTGATGTTTAGATCGTTGATACATCACCAACAAATCCATTTTTACCATGTATCAAAAAATTAGATGAAACCGTTGTTCGAAAACATTATACTGAATGTTTATATGATGCATGTCATTGTGATACTGGTGGCGATTGTGAATGTTTGTGTACATCTCTGTCTGCTTTTGCTGAAAAATGCCAGTCGATCAATGTTCCAGTTAAATGGCGTAAACAAGACAAATGTCCAATGCAATGTGAAAATGGTCAAGTATACATGTCATGTGGTCCCATTGGTCAACCAACATGTCGTGATATATATTCGTATGATAATTATGATCCTGCTGAATCTGGTTGTCAAGAAGGATGCTTTTGTCCCGATGATCAAGTGATGGATAAACAAGGACATTGTGTAAAACCGGAGTCATGTCCATGTGTTGAAATGGGCGTTGCTTATCCGGTTGGTTCAAAAACTATTCGAAATTGTGAAGAATGGTAAGCGTAAAAAGAATAGACTTTATTATTTGAGTTAATAACATTTTCTCTCTAATTTAGTGAATGTATTAATGCAACGTTTCATTGTAATAAACTGCTGGATTGTCAACCAAAATGTACCCAGCATGAATTTACATGTAATAAAAGTTTAGAATGTATACCAAAACAATGGATTTGTGATAAAGTTAAAGATTGTGCAGATGAAAGTGACGAAATGAATTGTAGTAAGTAAATATTAATGATGTGTAGTACAGTGGTACTTTTGTACTGTGTCCGCATGTGATACATTCACACACAGAACGGAGGAAAAAGATACAAAAAAACGCTGCAGATTAGCTCTTTAGAACAATTGTGAGTAAGAATAAAAACCTTTTTTACTAGTTGAATCATACAAACAAAGCCAATTGTCAGTTTATCCAAACTTTTTCTACATGGACACTAAAGAGATCAGAGTACTTTCTAGGGGAATCTGCAAGCTTTTTTAATAAGTCTGAAAGCTAGAACAGAGGCCATACAAATCACGCGGACAATTTAGAGCGTGATTGTTTAATAATCTATAACTGATGCTTTATTCCGTTTTTCTCTTATTAGAATGTGCACAAGACGATTTCATTTGTTCAAATGGACAATGTATGCAATCAAAATATCGTTGTGATGGTTTGCCGAATTGTCGTGATTCATCTGATGAACTTAATTGCAGTAAGTATTCATTCTACATTTTTCAAAAAAGTGAGTTCTACATAAATTTTATATTCTATCAATTTAGATTATACGCAACCGTGTCAAGATTTTCTATGTGACAACAAACATTGCGTACCTAAATCATGGGTATGCGATGGTCATATTGACTGTTCGGTAGATGGCAGCGATCATTCGGATGAAAAACATTGCAGTAAATTTTAGTGATATTATCAATAATTTTAAAACTGATTTATTAAAACATTTGTTGATTTTCGTAGATGCAACACCATGCGATATAGACAGTGGTCGGGAATTTCGTTGTCATGATGATCAATCAATTTGTTTACCAATTGCTCAAAAATGTGATGGACATGTTGATTGTCTGGATGAAAGTGATGAAAAACATTGCAGTATGTACACATGATTTAATATTCTTTTGATATCCTATAATATATTAACTTTTATAATGTAAATAGATTGCACATGTGAAAAAGGTAAATTTAATTGTGAAACAGTTTGTCAATGTGTCAATCCACAACAAGTGTGCGATGGTCGAAAAGATTGTGTCGACGGTACAGATGAAGCAAAATGTAAGTGTGGTCCTAGAGAATATACGTGTAATGGCGGATTATGTATTAATTCAACAAAATTATGTGATCGAATGGAAAATTGTCCAAAAGGAGACGATGAAACACATCCAAGTTGTAGTAAGTTGAGCATCCATTTGAGGAAAGCTGGATATTTATACGAAAATTGTATATTGTGATTTTTCAATATAGATCGCACGACAACTGTCCACGCATTTTCGACAACAATGGGTACCACTAGGTACTTGACCACTACATTCGGTTTGACAACGGCCTCTACTCCATTTTGTCATACAATGCTGTGTAAAGTTCAAAATGTTGAACGTTGTATTCCATATAACGAAACATGTGATGGTGAACGATTTTGTGATGATGGCAAAGATGAAATAGCAGAATTATTTCCACATGAGCCGAGATGTGAACGAACAACAAGTAAGAATAAGTCATGATCTGGTATTCTTAAGACAATATATGCTAAATTTGGGTTTTACATAGGTATGTCACTATCGACAACAACACCAGCAGTATGTACCAAACCATCAGTTAGTGTTTGTGGAAAATGTTTATCAGCATCAAAATTGTGCGATGGCAAATGTGATTGTCCAAAAGGATGCGATGATGAAAAGAATTGCAGTAAGTGTTAAATATATGAATCTGTAATTGAAACAATTTCGAACTCTTGTTCAGAATTTGCGTTTTACATATAATAATTATATATCTTAGCAAATTGTACTTTACATTGTCCTGGTATCAGAAGTTGTTTAAAACCAGAACAAATCTGCGATAATAAATGTGATTGTCCGGCAGATTGTTCGGATGAAAAAGATTGTCTATGTAAGTGTGTGAAACAACGATTTCTTCATTTTTCAAGCAAAACAGAATGATTATGGTATTTTATAGCTACACCACCATGTACCGAATTTACTTGTGACATCACAGAAAATAATCCAATAGGAAAATGTTTGAATAAAACGCGACTGTGCGATGGACATGCAGATTGTATTGATAAAACAGATGAACCAGAAGGACTTTGCAAATATTCATCAACTTCAACTAAATCAACATTAGCAACAACATCAAAAAGCTTGTCGACTCAATTAACAACACATCTACCACCAGGTTTGGAAATACCACGTTAACGTCAATTTAAAGTTAATATGTATTTGGTTTATTTCTTATTCGTTTAGTATGTTTGAATACTTCATCCTCGTTTATTCCATTTTCATTAAATTCTCCATTAATTCAATCTGTTTCTACCCCACAATTACCTGAACTAACAAAAGGTGTGGTCATTAGCAATCAATCTCCGCTACAAATTTCAAAAGAAGAAACAATTGTAACATCGATTACGTTTATAAAGCCATTTCAAGTGATGAGTGTCATTATAACAAGTTCAAATAATCAAATGAAAATTAGTGCTTATACAAACCAAGAAATTGCACTATTGAATGCAACAATTAGTACAAATGCAACAATAACAGAGTATGTAATACAAGCGCCAAACGCGGCCACACAACCGTCAAATCAATTAATTGTAATAATCCAAACACCAAACTCAACAGCAATAATCACACAATTTCTCATTAAAGCATGCACAGGTAAAGAATGAATGATTTTGCTTCCTTTTATTTTTTTTTGCTGCTTATTTTACTTTCTAAATTCATTATTGGTCTATTTTAGAGCTACCTACTACTACATCGGCAACGCGTATGTAACTGATTTTAGTGTGAAGCAGAAATATTTTTAAATATTTCGTTTTTTTATAGCATATACCGGCAGTACAACTACCTATTCAACAACTATCATTAGTACTCATACAAGTATGAAATTATCTACTATGCATTATTCTTTCAGCATTCAAATAGTATTAGATCGTTATATTATTCAAAATCCCGAACTATTGAAAAAATATATAATCAATTTTCTACAAATATGTACTTGGAAACAATGAGTTTTGCTTTAAAAGAAAGAACTTGTATAATCGGTCCAATAGATCGAAATGGGTCAAGTTCGGATCAAAGAAAAAAGAACTTTCAGATCTTATTCGGATCATATCACTAGAAGACAAAAAATAGAAGCTTTTTATCGGTTGGGTTGACTAATTCATTTTCGAACACTATTTATCGAAAAAGACGTTCAGTGGAAATAGTTTTATATTAGTTCCAGTGTAATTACATTTTTGTTATTTTGTTGGTGTCTAAAAACGAAAAACGAGAAAGATAAGTAAACGGAACAGACAAATTAGATCATTCTGACAATTATACTTCGACAATACGCGATCAAGAAAAACGGTTTTCAATTCTGAAACTTTTCGGATCATCAACGATAAAGTTTCGGATCAAATTATGAAAAATTCTTTGGCATATCGGGTTCGGGTCAGACACTTGTGATACGATTTGATCTCTCATAAATTAGCTGTGATCAGTACTGCTTTTTGGTTAATTTTCATTTTGCATTCATATGAAAGATATCTCCTGTTTATATTTAGCTCATCAGTGTAGTGAAGAATTGGGTCTAAGACTTGGGCTTATACCCACCGATTACATTCAGGTGTCGTCAAACAAAGTAGAAGGTCAGTCACTCGATTCCGTTCGGCTTGGAAATTCACAGTTATGGACAGCAGCAAAAGATGATTCGAACCCATGGATTCAAATATCATTTCCATTAGGTAGTGATTTTTCATACAAGTTTGTTATAGTTTGATGCGATTCCGCGTTTATTTTACATTCTAGATAACGCACAAACAATTAGTGGGTTTGAAATGACTAGTGATGAGACTCAAATCAATGTTGAGTTTGATACATTAACAAAGAGAAATATTGTATACGAAGACAATGTAGGTATAAATTTTAAATCTTCAGTCACAGTTCTCATTGTTCAAACATTTAGCCCATATATCGTTCACCCACAACATCATCAGAAATTTGCATCATCCACTTTTATCAAGCATTTCCAGATATAATTCGAATCCGTTTTACATTTTCTCGTGTTCTATCGAACACTGTTGTTATAGCACAAATAGAACTCCTTGGATGTGCTCACTGTAAGCCATTAAAAGAATCTCTTTCTGTATCTTACTGTTTTCTTGTGATTCAGTTTCAACTCTGACTACACCAGCTCCGCATAAAACGGGTGCCACAACTGGCTCACATACGACAGGTAAACGAGCTTCCCACGAAACAGATTTAACGTCTAGTCAAGCAACTGGTACAAAAATTACTCATGGAACAAGTTCAACACAACCCTCATCGACCATTACAACTAGTAAGTCAAAGTGCAATACTCACACCTGTTAGACATTGCTCTCATTTTGAGAAATTAACTGATTCTTAATACTAATATCTGTAGAAATCATTTATACCATCCTTGCAATATTTCTGTATCATAGCACATTATCGTTTTTTCAGCTGCATACGTTTGTAATGGTGAAAATGTGTTAAACAATCTTCCAAACGACGTCGTTGTTCGAATTAACCAACAAATTGTTACAGCTAATGTTACGCAAAATGGTTCAGGTTTGGCTTTCCTCGCACACATCCAAACAGGCTAGCGTTACAAAATGTTTTTTTTCCTCGAAGGTGCGACCGTTCCTGTAGGGCAGCCATTAATTATCACACTATTACAAAAAATTCGTAAAGTTCAACAACTTGTGATATTACCGAATTCAAATATAGAATCTTATATCATCACCTACAAAGCACCAAATGGCGACAGTATTATTCTCGATGGAGTAAACCGCCTTTGACTGCAACACACTTTACCAGAAAACAGCATAGAACGTTTTCTATTTCAGGACAGACAAGAATCAGTCACGGACTTCGCCAACTTACCAGCAACCGAAATCTGCATTATACCGCGTACAATAAAAAATCCCAAATCCTCCACAAAAATAAGAATCGCTCTCTATCTATGTGCCGACCAAGATACAACAATCACCACACACAGTAAGCCATCAAGAAACCCACTAACTCTAACAAAAATACATACCAACTGCTAAAAAATTCTTCGTAGCCCGACCAACGGAAAGATTTAGTACCTCAACCACAACCTTCCATGATGTCAAAACCGGAACAACACTCGCGGGATCCACGAAAGCGGCAACAACACATACCGAACCAACACACACCGGAACACCCAGTACCCCTGGCACGGGAACCATCGGCAAGACTGGATCATCAAAACCAAGCATCTCACCTGCAACAGTTTCAGGTGTGAAAGATTTTTGCGCTAGTAACGTGCAGAATAAATCTATCTAATGCCACAGCCCATTCTTTATCACACGACAATCGTTTATTAGCACTTTGTCATTCTAAAGTGGTAACATATCGTCACTATTTCGATTCATTCACCTTACAGGTTCCTCCGAGGCATCTGGCATGACAAGCGGCACAAC